CTCACCGCACACTTCGTTCATTGTGCCTGTACCAAAACGTCAGGTAATAAATCAAGCCCGGAAACAGTCCCGCCTCAAACATGCCCAGCAGGAAGCGCACGGCCGTGACGGCGCCAAAGCTGCGCGCGGCGCCCAGACACATGGTCATGGCGCCCCAGCAAAACATGAGAAAGGCGAGCCACCTGCTCGGCTGGAGCTTCTTGAGCAAGATGTTGCTGGGCACCTCAAAGACGGCGTAGGCGACGAGAAAGACCATGAGCGCAATGACGAATTGGTAGTCGGTCATGCGGGCCGAGTGCTGCATGTCGTCGCCCGTCGACGAGTTGAGCACCTTTGCGTTGCCAATGTTGGCGCGGTCCAGGAAGCACAGAAAGTAGATGCCGGCGCAGAGCGGCACGATGCGCAGGTCTTGCCGGCGGACGAGGCGCTGCTCCTCGGCACTGGGCGGCTTGGAGGAGGCGGCGGCGAAGCCATCCTCGTGGGCGTCCTGGAGAGGGTCAGCTTTAATTGTTTTCTTCTGCATTCACGGAACAAGGGAAAAGAAAGGAAGATGAGGAGGGAGAGGAGGAGGGGTAGAATGACGCGAAATTTTTCAATGACGCGGATTTGGCTCGGAGCTCCTTTACCTCTTTGACGACATTCTTTTCAACGTCGGCTTGATCCGACGGGACGGCGTCCTCAATCTTGGGCGGCATGGCTTTTGTGTGGTAGCACGCGCGCAACGACGATGGGCCTCTTTTGGCAAGCGTCCGTCGTTAGTTATTTCTACCTTTCCGGAATTGGGGAAAAAGGGAAAAAGGTTGCGGCAAGAAAGAAAGCCAAGTCTTTCTTGCTCCCCTCTCTAAAATATTACAAGCTCGGTGGATGGACCCTTGCTCACTTTTTTTTTCTCCCTTTTTTTTTTTTACTCCAGCGTCCGGTGTCCGGCGCCAAAAGATGGGGAATGCGGGGAACGGATCCAAAGCCGTCGGGTGTTTTGACACTGTAACTCGGAGATGGGTCCGGCTCGGCCAAGAAAACAGAAAGCAGAGGTAAATTAGCTTCGGAAAAGTAAATGTTGAAAGTTGTCGGGGTAGAGCGTAAGCACGAGAGTTGTCTGGGGTGTATTGTGGTCCAACTGGGGAGGAGATTGGTGGCTGGAAGCTAATCTGATGTCTAATTTCCGCTCGATGAGCTAACTACTGCGTATTTCCGGGTTTTCGTATAAGATGCGTTACTTGGCACGCAGAGTCCAACTTTGGAAGAATGGCAATGCTGGACCTAGGTCAATTTTTGCCTATCTGATAAATGCACCGAGATGCTCTGCAACTGGCCCAGTCAATGTGCAGATCGGCTTACCGAGATGGCAGCCAACACCCAAGTTGGCCTCTTGACAGAGAAAGCCAAAGACGCCTATCTAGCTCGGAAACTGAGTCAAATGTGTAGACTAAAACTCAAGTTGAATAGATGAAAAGTCCTATGAAGATGAGTTTTACAATCTTTATTCTTCTTTTCTTTTTTTTTTTTGCCTTTTGAATTTCTAAGCTCTAGCTATCATCTAATCACCATATACATGTCTGCATTTCTAATCTACTCTTGGTCCTCTTCTGGGTCCGCGGGCCAAAAAAACCAAATAACCGCCATAAAAAACTTCAACGCCGCCGCCGTCCACAGCGCGCCCTGGATACCCACCGGCGAGTGAGCAAATATGCCGCCGAGCACGGCGCCAAGCAGCAGCATCAGCGGGGCCGTGGCTCTGCGGTTGCGGTCGACGTTGTCGCGGCGAAAGAGGTCCTGGTCGGAGAAAAGATCGCAGTAGATGCTGGTGAGGACGACGCTATTGAGGGCATTGTAGCGGAGGGCGCGGCTGGTGACGGCCTGGCCGCAGCTCTGAAAAGCGACGAGGGTGAGGGGCAGCAGGACGGTCCAGGAGACGTCGTCGTCGCCGGCGGGGGGCCGGTTGAGGGTGACGATGAGGGCGGCGGCGACGGTGAGCAGCGACTGGGCGGCAAAGGAGGCGCAGAGGACCCAGCGGCGCGAGGGCGAGAAGCGGCGGTGGAAGCGCGCAAAGAGAAAGGAGCCGACGCAAAAGGCGAGCAGGGAGATGCCGGAGCGGTAGAGGCGCGGGTTAATCGGGGGGTAGATGATGGAGGCGAGGCCGAGGGCGACGAAGACGGTGTTTCCTGGGAGGGAAGTCAAGGTGTAAGCCAAGAATGACGATAACAAGTTCAAGGAGGGGGGAATTTGGAAATGTGGGTGAGTTGGAATAGGGGAAGCGCAACTTACCAGTCTGCATGGAAACAAAGGCGCCCCATACTTGAGTCGAGGCGCTGTCGAGTAGGCCAGTGACGACGTAGCAAAAGAGAAGCATGAGATCGGCCCATGACCGCGAGACGTGTTCATTGAGCGTTTTGCGAATGTTGGCGACGCCGGGACGGCCGGGAGACGAGTGCGGTTTGCCCAGCAGCGACTGGCGCTCGGGATCGGAGCCGTGCCGGAGAACGTGTCCGTTGTCGGCGGGCCGCGAGGCTGCGGTGCCGTAGCCTGCCATGTTGCGCGACGAGAACAGCCAAAGACTGGAAAGACGTAGAAAAAAGAGGGGGCTAATAAAGAAAAAGAAGAATGAAGTGAGGATTGAAAAAATAAAGGGAAAGGTGAAGAATTGAAGCGTGGGGGGGAAGGTGCTATTATTAGTATTTTGAGTCTTGTGACGAGTAGACAACTTTTGCGCCAGAACGTGGAATTGGCACGCGTGCGCTTTTGCTTGTCCGAGGCTAACTAAATAATAAAAAAGAGACAAAAAGTTGGGTTGGCCCGCGCTAACTGGGTGATGATAGGATGGGCGGGGATTGTCGACAAGAAACCGGGGAGTTTGCTAACGCGAATTGATTTTTTAAAACGGGGATTTTGCCCTTGTTCAAAGCTCAAAAATGGGGAATTGTAAAAAAGTTGGTGCGGAAAATGGTTCGATTTTTTGGTAGTTTTGGGGGCAAAGTGGTGCCCCGTGTCTGGGGCTGCGGATGAAGACGGGGAGAATTGGGAAAGCAATAATAATAATAAAAAGTTGTCGCGGCTTTATAAGTTGGACGAACTGTATATCTTGAGTAGGCAAATCAATACTCGAGCATATGATATTTAGTTATGGAGATGAAGGATGGGTTGGTCTTGATGGCAGCGGTGGTAAAGTGTAAAATAGTCGACGACGACAGAGAAGACGACGGTGAATATGTGTAAAAGTGCGCAAAGACGGGCATCTATATGAATTTAGTATATGGCGTCAATGAGACTCTTTTCAAGTTGCTGCGTCGATCAAACAAGCCAGCTGCCACATGGAAAAAATATTAAAAGAAGAAAAAAAAGAAAAAAAAAAAAAGGAAGAAAGCCACCAAGAAGCCGACTTTACCACTTTTACAGTACTTGAGTACGTACCTGGGTACGTAGGTACTTGTCAGAACCCGCTCGACCGCTGAAGCGGTAGCCGGCTGCAAGGCTCAACCCCACTATAAGTTGTGGGTGCTGAGGTGTGTCCGGACTTGGTTCGGCGGACAACGGGCAACGAACGGGCAACGAGGGGGGTGGACTTTTTTAAACTCTGCCAAGAAGTGAATAAATGGTTAGTTATGTAATAACCGGAGCGTTGTGTACGTAGTTTTATGAAATATGTGCGCGTATCGATGCCCCCCCCGGTTGCGGGTGGCGGCACTGGCTGCAACGCCCAGGTGCCGCTTTATCCATCCATGATGCTGCTGCCTCTTTTCTACATTCAAACCCCCATCATCATCTTGCCGTCCATCCCATTCCAAGAACGCCACGTTAGCCCGCCCACCCAACTCGATTCATTGGATGCCCGCGTTGGTTTTATCATTCAGGCTGGCACGCTTTGGGCACGAGGCTGAATTTTTTTTTTTTTCTAATACACATCATTTCCTCTTCATTTTCTTCGTCATGTATTCCTCCTCTTGGCCTCGGCCTCGCTCTTCCATCGGAGCTTCTTCTGAACTCCGGTGCGACAGCGACAAGCGACACCGCATCCCGCCCCCCACCATGCCGACCTCCCAACACCCATACTAGATAGTGACAGTGACATGTAAAACCCTCGTACCTACGTCAAGCAACCTAAATGCTCAAACCTTGCCGCAAGACACGGCAACCTCGTAGCTCGCTTCCAAAACACTCCATCCTAGATAAGAAGCTTTCCGCCTCGTACAAAATCTTGCCAATCTCTTTCTTTCTTTTTCTTTTCTGTTCATCTTCCCTTCCTTTCTCTCCTGTAAACCCTTCCCCGTTTCACCCACATCATCACTTACATCATACTTGCACCAGCGACTTTACGAAAAAAGCTCGACAGCACCCCCCCCCCCCAATGAAGCTCACCACTACGCAGCTGCTCCTAGCCGGCGCCGCTGGCCTCTCCGGCCTGGCCGCCGCGCTGCCGCACAGAGACAGCCCGCAGCAGCGCTTCCTCAACGGCCTGGCCCTGCCCGACAAGTACGCCGCCGCCGGCGGCCGCCACCGCCCCTACACGCCGGGCCACCGCGACAAGCTCGACCGCTACGTCGACCCGGAGCAGGAGAACCTGGATCCCTTGCCCTGGCGCAACGGCCAGGGAGCCACCGTCCTGGGGCCGTATAACCGCGACCGCTCGCGCCAGAGCCCGGACATGGTGCGCCCGCCTAGCACAGATCACGGCAATGTCGCCAACATGCGCTGGAGCTTTACAGATTCTCACACTCGAATTGAGGTACGTAGCTTGAACTTTTTTCTTTTTGGTATCCAATCCAATTCAAGCTGGCTCCATCAATTTTTTTTATTTTTTTTTTCCTTTTCTTACACAATTTCTTAGGAAGGCGGATGGACGAGACAGACGACGGTGCGCGAACTCCCTACCAGTGTCGAGCTGGCTGGCGTCAACATGAGACTCGACTCTGGCGTCATCCGTGAGCTTCACTGGCACAAGGAGGCTGAATGGGCCTATGTGCTCGAGGGAAGCGTCCGCGTCACCGCGCTCGACTACGAAGGCGGCAACTTTATCGACGACCTCAACAAGGGCGACCTCTGGTACTTTCCCAGCGGCGTCCCCCATTCGCTCCAAGGCTTGGGCGAGAATGGCACCGAGTTTCTGCTCATCTTTGACGATGGCAGCTTTTCCGAAGAGTCTACTTTTATTCTGACTGATTGGCTTGGTATGTGTCCCATCTTTCTCTCTCTCCCCCTTCTTTCTCTCTCTCCCCCATCTTTCTCTCTCTCCCCTTCCTTTCTCTCTCTCCCTTCTTTCTCTCTCTCCCTTCTTTCTCTCTCTCTCTCTCTCTCTCGCTTCTCGCTTCTCGCTTCTCTCTCTCTCCCCTCTCACTTATATCGACTAACACACACCCCGCTTACAGCTCACACGCCCAAGAGCGTCATTGCCGAAAACTTCCACCTCGCCCCCGAAGTCTTTGAGCACCTCCCCAAAAGCGAAAAGTACATTTTCCAGGGCTCGCAGCCCGGCTCCGTCGAGGACGAGCGCCCGCGCGGCCGCCACGTCAAGAAGAGCCGGTACCAGTTCACGCACAAGCTGCTCGACCAGGCGCCCAAGAAGACGTCGGGCGGCGAGGTGCGCATCGCCGACAGCAGCAACTTTGCCCTCTCCAAGACGGTCGCCGCCGCGCACGCCGTCATCCAGCCGGGCGCGCTGCGCGAGATGCACTGGCACCCCGTCGCCGACGAGTGGTCCTACTTTATCCGCGGGCGCGCGCGCGTCACCATTTTCGCGGCCGAGGGCAACGCGCGCACCTTTAATTACGTGGCGGGCGACGTGGGCATTGTGCCGAAGAACATGGGCCACTTTGTCGAGAACATTGGCGACGAGCCGCTCGAGATGCTCGAAGTCTTTCGCGCGGACCGGTTTCGCGACTTTTCGCTGTTTCAGTGGATGGGCGAGACGCCGCAGCGCATGGTGCTGGATCACTTGTTTGCGGATGACGAGGAGGCTGGTCAAAAGTTTTGGGAGAGTGTGCGGGATCCTAACAAGGACGAGATTACTCATCCGGGCAAGAGCCTGTTTGACAAGGACAACGACGACGATAACGACGACGACAATGAAGAGTTGTAAAGGGCAAGGCAGCTTTTTTCTTTTCTACGGGTATTGGTGTCTTTTTTTTAAGCTACGGGTATTGATGTGCCTCTTTTCTAGCTACGATTTATTGGTATGACTAGTGTTTTGTGTTGTAGAATATATCTCATCTTGTGCCTTTTTTTTTTTCTTCATTAGAAAGGGAATCATCTTTCATGGCTACATGCACGCCAAGCCGCCAATCGAAAAGAAATGCAGTATCGTCACCGCCAATCGAGCTCGGTGGAGCTTACTTTGCTCGTGTCGCCACGAAGCCATGTCGCATTGCGGGCCATGAATAGAAACGTGGTCAGCCCGTCATGCGGGACAAGAGGAAGGTTCCGAATAGCATGGTGGAGAGCGGTTAAAAAGTAAGTATGGCAGATGAATTACCTTTGGTGTCATCTAAACAAGAAAAAAAGGTCGGGTGAATGGGCTCTCTCTCTCTCTCTCTCTCTGTCCTCGCTCTCGCTCTCCCACGTCAACCACGTCAACCACGTCACAGCGAGTCACTATAATGGGTAATCTATTGGAAAGTGGAGGGAACTATTGCAACCGGAAATTCGTTGCCGACGTTGCACAGCAGCGACGGGCTGGATAACTCACTCTTGGTCCAGCCTGATTGTCGCACAAGCAGCCTGGACTTTTTCTGCTTGCGGGATGCCAATGTAGGTCACATTGCAGACAGGCTATCGGAGCAAAACTCTCAGCATGAGCTTTCCATTGGCTCGACATTTTTTTTTTTTTTGAGACTATAATAAAGTACCAGTTGCCAGCAAACTCCTTGTTAGTTGGACGTGACTCAAAAGAGGAGTCTAATAATAAATTCCCTCCTACGGTCTGAGGAAGCGACGGCGGTTGCAGAGTTAATTAGTGGGATTTAATTAGTGGTATTTGCCCAAATGATCAACAATTGCGGCTGCCACGAATACCCCGGATAACGCACTCGCAACGCGCCGAGCTGGGAGCCATTCTGCAGGTAGGGCAACACAGCAGGCAGGTAGGGTAGCATACAGCGCATACCTAGGTGCTAGGTAGCAGGCCTAGCAGGCATGGCAGGCATGGCAGACAGGGACCACAGCCAACTGGTCACTTCTTCGTTATCGCATCATTCTAGTCGCAGCACCTTTGATACATTGGATAAACAGCTGCACATGCTGACCGTCTTTTCTCCGGCAGCGGAGTGTACGTGACTACACTCAAAAGACTGAAACATGGCCTACTGACCCCGCGGTCCGGGCATTTCCACACGGCAGGGACTTTTCAACAAGACGGCTTGGACGGCTGGTAGAGTTGGTTTCCGGCGCTATTTGCCACAAGCCTACCTACCTTTCTGCCCTCGGGACCAACTTGCCAAGCAAGAAGCTCTTGAACCTAGCGTTTTTAGCTCGGGCGTGCGCACGCCTCAGAATAGACGTGGGGGAACAGGTTCCTCAAGCCGTACAGTGAGCGCTCTTTGGGATATAAAAAAAGTAACTAGCTGGGGACGCCACTGATGCAGGCTGCTTGGCCATAGTTACTGGTACATGATGGTCCAGGGGATCGCTGCCCACCACCTGGAGCCTTGCCATTCAGCAGCCATTCAGCAGCCATGGAGGCTTGACGCCACCAACACTGTCAAGATGACCGAGTTTGGCAAGACCTGCCTCGCACAGTTGCAAGGATCTCGGTGTGAATGCTGCCTGAGAGTCTAGACCCCGGGGAATTCTTCATATATTTTATCAACTACTATCAGTAACCCATCTCTATACATTTAATGCGTTTCAAAAATCAGTTCATGAGCATACCTAGATAAAGTACCTTCCGGCAGTTACTGACAAGAATACCTTATCTATTGGCCTTGTCGGTGTGTATCGACCAGCCTGATGGGTGCCGCAAGGGCCATCCATGATGAGATGATTTCGGCGAATACATTTATTTGACAAAAAGTGCGGGGAAGGAGCAAGTACGGGCGTCGAGGCGAGGCGAGGTGGGCAAGTGGGTGACTTCCCTTCTTCTTTTTTTCCACAAGCCCATCGGCCCCCTTTTCTTTCTCTGGCAAATGAAAAATGTTCCGATGACTTGTTTATTACCAACAAGCTCTACTTGTTCATGGCCAACATGGCATGGCGTAGCATGAAAATAAGAAATCGACGACAGCTCGTCATCTGACGACGCCTCACCATGTCCGGACAAATCTCGGTGTCGCCAGCCTTGTTTGCTTGCTTGCTTTTTCCCTCTCTGTTCATCACGACTTTTGTTCTAAAGATACAGAAATGTCTGGCACTGAGCTGTCCTTTCAAAGGTACTGCTGCTGCTGCTGCTGCTGCACTTGCAGCCTGATTCATCATAACCGGTCCCGTGCACCGCCAAAGAACTAGCACACCCTACGCTACGGTGCACCATTACACCCCCCTCCGTTTCCTTGCTACTCACCAAAGTTACCTGGTTGCCTGGTTGCTTGGTCGCCAACTCTTGCTGGTCCAACATGTCCCGGCCCCAAAAGTCGGTTAGCACGGCACAGCCTGGAGCCGCCAATGCAACGCTGAGGCTACCAAACTAATACTGTTCCTGTGGCCTCGTATTGCGCTAGGGGTGCGAGTGCATTCTTTTTTCTTTTATTGTTCGCAAGCCTTATTGCTTGAATGCTACCAACATGGATGCCCATGCAGCCTGCATGGTGGGCTCCAATGCGAGACAAGGACGATCCGAGTATGCCGGCCGTCTTGAAGCAATGATCGCCCTATGCTTGCTTCCCCGGGGGGGAGAGCCCACTTCAGTGGCATAATTCATGTAGTCTCTCTTGTATTTGCGTCAAAGAGGCTGAGATGTTATTTAGGCTTGGATTTTGGCTTTTTGAATCAACAGCAAAGGGGAGCCGTTCGCGCAACAGAGCAGAGCATCATTGGACGAAGAGCAGCTGGTGGCTGCGCCAACAAAAGCCTTATCTTTTTTTTTTTTTTCAACTTCACTTCCTCCCCCGCCGTACGCTATACTTTTGAGGTGGCGGTGGCGTGCGTGGGTGTAGGTGTGTGACAACGATGTTGCCTTGCCGTTGTGCTGTCCGGGAGCTGTTTCTCATCGGGCTCCATTGTGCATTGATGAAGTCTCTCTCTCGTCTGCCATCGGTGCTTTTCCAGACGAGAGATGGGGGGGGAAGACATACTTCCGTCTTCGTTACCACTGTCGTGTTCGAAACAACGGACTAGTTTCGATTGCGCCGGCCATTCGCCGGAACCGGTTCTGCAATGAGCCAACCCTCGAGTTCATGAGCCTTGTCAGTCAAACCGTATGAAATGTCTCGGTCATCACAAGTAGACAACGCTGGTGGCAGTTGTCCGAGGCGCAACTAACAGGACGCCATTCTCAAGGATCGTCCTGCTGCGTAACCTCGTCTTGCCCCCCCTCCTTTCCTACCGTGTATCCGGACACCCCATTGCACCCTCTTCAGCAGCCTACCAGTAGAGGCAAAACCTGGCGTCGCCATGGACGTGTGCCGCCCCTGGATTCCGGCGGCCGGCGTGCCTGCCTTTTTGTGTTGGTGGTGTGCGCGCGTGGCTAGAGATGGCTGAACCTTGGCCGCGGATGATTTGGTTGGCTTGCCCGTTTGGTCTGCTTTGGCGTCACTGCTTGCGAGTGGTAATTTGTCCGCAGTGGTCGGTCGGTCTGTCGGGCTGGCTGGTTGGCTGGCTCGAGCTGTCTTGACCAGGCAGCGTGTATGGCTGCTTCCCCTCACGCGCATCTTGCTCGTATCCATCAGATTGTCCCTATAACAATTGGTGGGCGTCCATCAAACCAGTCTCTTCTCCTGGTGATGTATATGTTTTGTGTTTCGAGGCTGCAACTCCAACACAGTTCATCTTTGCACTCCCACCTTGTCAATCTTGTGCGTCTCTGCACCATCCTGTCTTGTAAAACATCAGAGTGGAACTCTGATTATGAAGTTTACATCAAATCTCCGCAACAATATCGCCGAGTCCTTCCGGACCGACCCGAGTATCAACAGGGTCAAGGGCTGGGTTGAGCCTGTCCGTCGCCGCTTGCCCTCAGCCACTGCGGAATATATCGCTGAAAAGCTTCCCGCAGCTCAATGGCTGCCGCATTACAACTACAAATGGCTCCTGCAAGATGTAATTGGCGGCATTACGATTGGTGTAATGCTCATTCCGCAGGGCCTCGCATATGCCAAGATTGCCAATATTCCCGTCGAGCATGGACTCTACTCTAGTTGGTTGCCCTCGGCTCTCTACTTTTTCCTCGGTACATCCAAAGGTGAGCAACACTTGAGATGACACATGCAAATAAACATGGAAATAAATAACAAGAGAGAACAGAGTTGTCCTCTGGTCCCACGTCGATTCTGGGTCTCTTTACGGCCGAAGCTGTCGCGGACCTGTCCAAGCATGGCTATGCTCCCGCCGACATAGCATCTGCACTGGCCTTTTTGGTTGGTGTCTTTGCATTGGCCATGGGATTGCTCAAACTCGGATTCCTGCTCGACTTTGTGTCTGGTCCAGTCTTGACTGGCTGGATCTCTGCCGTGGCATTCGTAATTGGTCTTGGTCAAGTGGGCTCCCTCGTTGGCATTGAGACAGGATCCGGCACCGTTACCATCTTCAGTGATATCTTGCGCCACTTGAACAAAATCAAGCCTCTTACCTTGTGTATTGGATTGACAGGAATTGCAATGCTCTATGCGCTGGAATGGGTAGGCAAGCTCTGGGGTAAAAAGAGCAAGTGGCTCAAGTTTATGAGCACCAGCCGTGCCGTCGTCGTTCTCGTCATCTACACTCTCATCTCGTTTCTTGTCAACAAGGACCTCAGCCCTAAGCAATACAAATGGAAAGTCACTCAAGTCAATACACACGGACTGCTCACACCACACACCCATGATAGCTCGCTCATCCAAAAGATTGCCGCCAAGTCCATTGCTCCACTCATCGCCATGGCTGTTGAACACCTCGGCGTTGGAAAGGCATTTGGTCTACGCAACAACTATAGCATTGACAAGAGTCAGGAGTTGGTGTTTCTCGGGGCCTCCAACATTGCCAACAGCTTCTTCGGTGCCCAGCCGTGTGGCGGTGCCATGTCACGAACTGCGGTCAATTCGGAATGCGGCGTCAAGAGCCCGGTCAACTTTTTGTTCACGGCCGGTTTCATTATCCTGACACTATATGAGCTTGCTCCTGCATTGTACTGGATCCCCAAAGCGACTCTGTCCGCCATTATTGTACGTCTCATCTTGCCCAACTTCAAAGTAACTACTAATAAGCGCAGATTATGGCCGTAGCTCATCTTGTTTCTTCTCCTCGGCTCTTCTATCGCTATTGGAGAATGTCCTTCATTGACTTTATCGCTTCGATGCTCGGATTCTGGGTCACCTTGTTCACCACGACGGAAATTGGTCTTGCCGTTGCCGTTGGATTCAACATTGTCTACACATTGATCCGCCTCGCGTTCCCAAAGTGGACTGGTCTATCTCACAAGGATACCGAGACTATTCACTGGTCTCCACCAAAGCACCACCAACTGAGTGACGGCATTGATGTTCCTGCTGAAGCATATCTGGTTCGATTTACCGAAGATTTGTTGTTCCCCAACGCAGAACGTGTCAAGAACTCCATCGTCGAGTCGGTCAAGATCCAGTTTGAGCCCGCCGCCTCTGCTGCCCACGACATCCTCTCCCAAAACAGGGCCTGGAATGTGGCCAGTTCTAAACGCATCGAGAAAATTCGGCGCAGGAAGAATATCATTCCACTCAAATGCGACGTTGTGCCTTTGCACCATGTGGTGCTCGACTTTACAATGGTCGGGTTCATCGACGTTACGGGGCTGCTCTCATTGATTGAGCTAAAGATGGAGCTTCGACGCTACATTGGTGCAAATCTACAATTCAGGTTCATTAACATGGTCGACGAGGTTCACGAGCGGTTCACAAGGTCCGAATGGCAATTTGCCCGACAGGGAGAGCAGAGGACTGGGGAAGCAGATACCATCTACAATTCACTCGAGGCGGCATTATTCCACCGCGAGGGCGACGAAAAGTCTGATGGCGTATCAGAAAAGGCATTGGACGTGTGAGTGGGCTCCTACGGTGCAGGTCGAGCCAACGGCGAGCTGTGGCTGCAGGGTTACCAGTTTTGCGGTTTCTTTATGATTTACGACGGATACGATATACTTTGTTTTTTTTTTTTCATCTTTGAGGCTCGAGTGCTAATATATTCTGCTTAACTCACACTTGGGTGTGCTTCTATGATAAGGCTGGGAGTAAATTAAACTATCATGTCTTGGCAATGTCTGGGCACGAGGAAATTCTCCGACCCAGCTAGCTGGTCCTTGTTGGCAATGAGGAATGTCCGCGGCACGTCGTTTACTATCAGGCTCCGGTTATCAAGGGATCAGGCAAGTTGGTCACGCGCGTTATTACACAATAAGAGCAAAAGTTCGCCTGCATTGGTCACCTCTCTTCCCCATCTTGTTAGTTTAGCCACAGATTGTGGTCGGGACACGACTATTGGCGTTGGTGTCGTCCTTTGTGATCAATGCCGAAATTCGTCCGAATTGACACAAATTGATTGTAATCGTGATTCATTCGGCCACGCGTATCGGCAGTTGCGCATGACTGAAGACGTTTTAATTATGCATACTTTTTTGCTCTGCGGCAAATGATGTATTGTAGATGAAAGGAGACCCCGACGGATTGTGAAGCCACATTTCTCGGTGGCGTTGGCCCTCGGAAAGCAATTCTGAAGCCCGTATTCTCACACTGTATTATAAGCATAATTTAGAAGAGCAAAGATGCAGTATACATGATATTTTCTGGGATACAAAACAAATTTTTACATGGCGACACATTCGCCATTTTCCTCACTTTCACGCGCCCTACGGTTGAGCCTGCGACAAGATTTACACTTGGTCATTGCCAGCGGCCGTTTCGGTGACAAATGTAGCGCCGAAGGAAAAACGCCACTGCGGGGGATCGCCCTTATTTGCAGCCAAGTTAAAGAGCGGCGCGAGAATTCATGGAGATGGAACAAGCCCCCCCAAACCCACTCCCCTCCCGACGCCCTCAAGCCCTGTGCCACTTGCGCACTAGTTATGGAAAAGCTCGAAAGCCGAGTTGCGGGGAAATAGGGCGCTTTTCAAGCTGTTACTAACCTGTTAGTTTGTTAGCCAACTGGCGTTGTTGAAGGGCGCCACGAGAAGGGGTGTGTGTCTCATGTATGTAAATTCGCAAATTCAATATGCCAACGGACAAGGAAGAAGAAGAAGAAGAATGACTTTACAGGGACGGCAGTGGCAAAAAAATTAAGAAAAAAAAATGACAGCTCGATTAATGTAGCGCAGCTGGTCTGGCACCACATACACGCAAACTCGTTCTTGGCACTCAACTTTTGTCCAGCAAATAACTGCAAAAAGGCCGAAACCCGGGCAAAAATTTCCGTGCTGCCAAACGCTTCGGGCAACGAGCATGGCCGCTGCCAACACGGGGTTGGTAAATAATAGCGGCGACGTTACCAGGAGGAGACTTTACCGCTGTAATTAGCCACCAGAGTCTACGAGTAGCCCCGGCATTTCCTCGGTTTTTGCAAATCCAAAACACCAAAAAAAAAAAAAAAAAAAAAAAAAAAAGAACAATGGCAGCTTGGAGCCACAATCGCCAGCGCATTCCGCCGTTCTTTGCGCGGATGGGCTTTCACCGAGGGTGGAAGCGGGCCACATTAGTGTGCGAGATGCAGTCGACCGCAGAATCATGGGCTGTTGACGGCGGGAGGGACAGTGGACGAGGCGGCGTATGGGTAAACGGTGATGGAGAGATTGTGCAGAGATTCGCTTGTTGGTGGAAGCAGTAGCGGCGGCGGCGGCGGCGGCGGCGGCGGGAGGGTTGGAGAAGAAGGTGATTAGTGAGGAGGAAGCGGCTTATACGTACAATTATGAGGGTAATGCGGTAGGCCTTTCTGTTTTTTTTTTTTTTTTTGTTTCTTTTTCTTTTTAACTTTGTTGG